GGCCCGCTGGCTTCTTGCCGTGTCTGTGAGGCCTGAGCCACAAGCTGCCCTTCATGTGGTCCGACGGGAGGGAGGCATGCACCCCAGGGCCGTGTGTCTGGGCGCCAGGGCTGCCGCTGCCTCACCGGCCTCCAGAAGCAGGTCCCCTGCAGGTGGCGGTGGCTGAGCTTGGGAGTGACAGACAGGAGAGTCAGGGGACCTGCTCCCGGACGTTCTCTGCACCAGCGTGAGTGTCTCCCAGGAGACAGCGTGGCCGTGGTCAGGCCCTGCTGTGGGGGCGGGGACTGCCTCTGCTGCTATACCACCCTTCTCCCGCCCACAACCCCTGTGAGTGAGCCATCCACCAGAGGTAGAGGCTGTCCCCTGTCCTCTGTGTCCCGCAATGAATCCTCGCCCCACCCCTCTGCTGGTCCCTCCACTGGGGAGTGGTGGTCAGTTCTTACTGCAAAATACCCACTGATGGCTGGTAGCTGACCTGCTATGACCAGGGTCCGGAATCACTGCCACTTATCAAGACCCCAGCCACGGCCCTGCCTAGGCTCCGTGGGCTGGGCCTCGAGCGCACCTGGGCAGTCCTCTCACCTGAGCCACCTGGGCCTCGCCCACGCGAGACTGCTGGTGGCCGGGCAGTGGGACAGGCTCCTGTGCTGCCTGAGGGTCGGTCAGTCAGAGGGGGTCCTGAACCCTGACATGTCGGAGGCGGCCAGACCATCCAGGCGAGATGCAGCGGTCAGCCTGTGGGGCACCACGCGCCGGCAGGACATGTGCGTGTGTGCACGTGTGTGTGCACGCGCATGTGTGTGCGTGCGCACGCGTGCGCATGTGCGGTGTGCACATGTGGGAGGGAAGGGGCGCGTGTCAGCGTGTGAGAGTGACGGACAGGAAAGGACAGATGTCCAGCGTGTGCACCAGTCAAGAGGGTGGCCTGTGTGTTTGCTTCCTCTTCCAGTTCACCACTGGAGGTGGGGGCGGACCTCGAGGGAGGGAGGGAGCAGAGATATGAGACCTGGCACCCGAGGGAGGACATGGGCCACGGGGGCTCCAGAGCGGGTCGCCTTCAGTCCCAGAGCTGAGCTCGGGGCAGGCCTGGCTCTGAGGCCAGGGACGGGGTGACGAGGTGGCCATTGGACATGATGGGTAAGGAGGGGGCAGTTTGTAAGAGGGCCCTGAGGAGCCGTGGAGGGGACAGCATTGGGGACACGGCTCCCGGGCTGCTGCTGGACCCCGGACCCCCGGCCCTCCGAGTGCCCCTGGGACCCGAGACCGCCGCCCCGCCCTCCCCAGGACGAGGAGGCAGCACTGGGTGGAGCTGGGACGTGGGCAGGTGAGGGCCGGCCCTGTCCTCCTCCCGCCTTGCCTCTTGCTCTGAGCCCAGCCTGCTCTCCATCCTGCTCTGCTGCATGGAGGACGCGTGGACATGGGTGCAGGCCTTGGGGTCCAGCCCACGAGGCCTGCAGTGCGGACAGACGGACAGCCCTCCTCGCGGGGCCCCGCACAGCCCTCGCCGCCTGCTTCTCTCCGCTGCTCCTGTGCGGGGTTCTCTTGCCCACTCCGCCTGGCTCCTGCCCCCCACGGCTGTGTGGGTGACTGGGCCCGCGCTCCAGACGCTTCTTCGTGTAAGTGCACTTACTCCGGGGCCGCCTGCGCCTGCCGGCTCCGCTAATAAACCTTCTTTCTCAACGCTCTCCTGCGTCCTCTTGCTCTGCTCCCCCGGCCCTGGCCCGTGACGCTCCCGGCTGAGGTTCGAGGGAGAATTCACGTGGCTCACGGTTGTGTGGACACGGACGACCCGCAGGCTCGCGCAGGGACACCTTTGCTTTCCGGGGGACCCGTGTCCCTGCCGGGCATGTCTGTCAGGAGGGAGGGGTGTTGGCAGGTGGTGGGCGGAGCCGTGCCCACAGGTGTCTCACCTTTTCTGCCTCAGCGTGGCGCGGAGGCAGCAGCCAGTTTGAGTGCTTGGGGAAGCATGGCGTCAGCTGTTTGTGGTAAAGCTAAGACCACCAGGCGCCAGGAGCCCGCTGGGTCCCTGACTAGATGTCTCGTGTGAGGTCGGCTGGGTCGGAGTGGGTCTGCTCCAGGGCGCGCAGGCTGCCCAGCCGAGGACTGTGGAGGGCGGGCGGGAAGGGACAGCGCGGGTGAGTCAGCAGCCGAGAAGCCAGACTTCGGTCGGCACTTTCAGCCACTTGGAAGGCAGAGGCTGGTGGGGGGACGTGGTGGGGCCCAGGCCTGCAGGGAAGTCGGGGCTCAGGGCGGCCGGTGGCCTGTGAGCGGGGATCAAGTGCACCGCGTGGCGCGATGTGAGGATGGGGAGGCTTCGTTCTGAGACGCCCTGCGGGGCGGGGCGGAGAAGCCACTGGGGCTTGCTGGGAACACTCTCCGCATCCCAGGTCCCAGGGAGGCCACACAGTGCGACAGCGGCGAGCACCTGTCCTTAGGGTGAAACCTGGACTTGGCACCTGCTGGGCAGCGGGGGAAGGTGCCATGGCCTGGGCTTCCTTCTTTTACCACAAACTCTGCCTGTGGCTAGGGCACGGCGGGCAGGGGGTGAGGGCGTGATCTGGGCGGGCAGAGGACACAAGAGGGGTGGCAGCCATATCTCTCCCAGCTCCCACAGACCTGGGTGAGGCCCGGAGCAGCCTCCCTGCCCCGCCCCGCCCCCTCCACTCCCTCCCTCCAGGGCCTGTTGAGGGGGTCACGGTGAGCAGCGAGGGCTCAGGGGGCTTTTCCATCCTGGGCACCGGAGGGCAGAGTGAGCACAGAGCTACTCGTCTGCCCCCAGGGAACCAGGTCCCGGGCAAGGTCAGGGCTGCCTGGGACCACCAGCCCCAGAGTGGACAGGCCAGGGCCCGGCTGGAGCTGCAGGTCAAGGTGACTTCAGGCCGCTGGTTGGATCGGGGGAGGGTGGGCAGAGGAGCAGGCATGGGTGTGGGGCTGGGGTGTGGGCCCAGCTTTGCAGATGGTGACAGCAGGAGCGTGGTCAGCTTCTGGGGGCCTCCCGAGGACCTGCTGGGAGGCAGGACGGGGAGGGTCTCACCCTCAGGCAGCCTCACAGACACGAGGCCCTTCCCTGAAAAGTCCCCCGGGGCTGGCAGCACGGGTCTGGGCACTCACTGAGAGCTGCCATCTAGCGGTTCTCCCCGAACCTTCGGTGGTGTCGAGACGGGGTGTGGGCCTGGGGTTGCTAGGCAACTGGTCGCCAAAGGGGATGGAACATGGATGGGACTGACGGACAGCGGGCAGTGCCGGTGACGGAGACGACATGGGGCTGTGCTAACGGGTTTATTGGCCTCTCCCTGGGAGCAGTGAGGCTCTGCTGCCGCCCGAGCTGCCCGGCTACTTGCGGGCCTGGCCGCCGCCCAAAGGCAGCCTGTCTGCGGGCCGGGCCCAGAGCGCCTTGAGCTTGCGGTAGAAGACGCGGCAGCTGAAGCCCTCCCTGAAGCCGCACTGGATGTGGCTCTTGAGGGAGCACAGGGTAGGGTACATGCGGCAGCAGGCCGCGCACTTGAAGCCGGTCTGCTGGGCTGGGAGCCCCCGGGAGGCCCTCAGGATGTCCTGGGAGCTGATGTGGTCGGCGTCCCCATGCCGGGCCTTGGCCTCGCGGGGGCCGGGGTTCTCGGGGGAGGAAGAGGACGAGCGCAGGCTGTCGGCCGTGTCCTCCAGGAGGCAGCTGTCGCCCCGGCCCTCGTCCCGCGGCAGCTCGGGGAAGCTGTGGGCCTCCCAGGGGCTCTCCTTGTCCACGCACACGAAGTAGCTGTAAGGGGAGAACCACGGCCGGTAGATGGTGCAGCTCCGCCTCGGCTGCTCCCCATTCTGGGGGTCCCCCAGCATGCAGTCTGCAAAGGAAAGGGCCTGGTCTGAGCCTGGGTGCGGGCGGAGGCATGGGCAGCAGCAGGCGGGCAGGGGCCTCCCCATCTCCTGCTGGGAAGGGCGGTGTGATCGGTGGGTGGAGGCCCCCGTCACCGTCCCGGCAGCTCCCAGGTGCTCCTCTAGGGACAGGCAGATGGACGGCGCAGCAGCCAGCCCTGGACCTCCAAAGGCCCTTGTCTGCCACCAGGATGTGACCATCACTCCCACCGCAGGTCCCTGCCACAGCCCAGGAGGCAGGCCTGGGAAGTGGGAGAGGAGAGGCCGGAGGCCTGTGCAGCCTGGGTCTCTGGGAGGGAAGACCAGAGAGGAGGCTGCATGGGGAAGGCAGCACCTGACACCTGCCCCAGGGGCAGCCCCGGACCTTCTCCCATACCTGTGCCAGGGGGCTCACCTGGTGAGAGCACCACCCCTTGCCGCAGAGCGCTGCTCGGGTGCTGGGGCAGCGGGGCCTGCGCTGGGCTGGGTGCCTCCGTGGGGAACGTGGTCTTGGCAATGTCTGGGGGCAGAGGAGATGCTCTTGGAACTGAGTGAGGGTGGGAGTCCTCCTCCTGGACCCACCAAGACATACCACCAGGCCCCGCTCGGTGCGTTGGCACCAAGCGGCAGTGAAACAGTGGCCTCCTCTCCTGCCCCTGCGAGGGTCTGGCCACGGGCCGTGTGGCTGTGACGTGGCCCCTCCTGAGGACAAGAGGAGACTTCTCCTATGGAAACGTCTCCCCCCACAGCAGGGTGCAGGGGACCCGCTGCCATCACCTGGGGGTGCTGGGGCTTGGATCAGAAGCTCCCAGGACAGTGGCCCCGCTCGGTCTAGCCAGGTGTCTCGGTGCCTGAGCTGGGGCCGCAGGTGTGGAGAGCGTGCCCCTGTGCACGACCTGGTAGAACCTCCCACTAAAGGCCTCAAACCCTGCATTTCTGTGGCCATCCTGGCAGGACCCACCTGGCAAGCTGGGGCCCCGTGGGGACATGAGGTCAGGAAAGGTGCCCAGGGCCGAGGAGGAGACCCGGGGCCCCGAGATGCTGAGGAGTGAGAAGCTCTCCATACTCGGACTGTTGCCGGGCACTCGGTCACACGCCTGCCCCAGGGGGCTCCGGCGTTGTCCGGGCGACAAGCATTCTGAGCACAGGTGACCTCACAAGCAGGCCCCAGCATTCCACCTCGGCCGGCTCACCCTCAGGGTCTGTGGCAAGAAAAGACCAACCTTTGCAGAGACGTGCCACCTGTGGCTCCTCGCAGCCACCTTGATGGAGGGTCCCGGCGCGAGGGGCACGCAGGCCACTCGGCTCCTTCATTACGTTTGTGTCACTGTCGCCCCAGCTCTGGGAACCTCTGTCCTCTGCGATCCTCCCTGCTCTTCTCCATCACCTGCTCGGCCTCAGCCCGACCTCTGCCAGTGGTGTTCTGTCATTTTAGTTTCTGGGTTTTTTCCCCAGTTTGGGTACATTTTTTACATGTTCTTTGGAAATAATTCCAAACTTATAAAAAGTTGCAAAAATAAAATTAGTACAAAGAACATGCATAGGCCCTGTCCCCAGATTCTCCTAACGCTACCATTCCCCCGTTCTGAGGGCCCCTCCCTCCCTCTGTGTGCAGGGCTCACT